GAGCATCAGACTTTTAATCTGAGGGTCTTGGGTTCGAGTCCCAACGTGGGCGAAATCATGTTCTTTCATATAAATCCTTTTGCCCATTAATTAGGAAAATGGACAGGGCATTGAAAGCCCACTTTATTACATGCAATAAATTAGCAAATACTACCGCCCTACGAGTAAGGCAGGTATTTTATGTACTTTTCATTCAGTTCTAAAGTAGGTATAGATTGCGTGTGTTTTCGAGGTCATTTTAATAGAGAAAGATAATGAAAAGAAAATCTGGTGTCGATTTATTTCCCCGGGGAAGTAATGGTAGGAGAGTGGAGTTGGCGGCTGGGTACGGGAAGGTTTTAATTTTGTGGTTGAACATTCTATCTTGTCACACTAAATTTTCACATTCTAAGGAAGACAGGTGTCACATTTTCGAAAAGATTATTTTTTCCTGGACAAAAAGTAGGCTGAACCTTGTCTAATAATTTATATCCCATTATTTTCTACTTTTGAATTCTTCAATCAGACTTCCTCTCATTTGAAATTGGTGCTTTTGCATTAGAAGAGATTATTTATAATTTTTCCATGATAGTTTCAACTTTAAGATCAAAATGCACCACTAGACCTTTATATTGTACATTTGATTGGCTCATATTGTGTATGTATGGGGAATTAGCTCAAGTGGTAGAGCGCTCGCTTTGCATGTGAGAGGTACCGGGATCGATACCCGGATTCTCCATTTTCTTTATTTTGTTTTTCTTACTTAGTAATGGCTGTCATAGTAGCTCAGTAGGTAGAGCGCACGCTCCGTGATCGGTTAGTCGTGTGTTCGAATCACGGCCGCGACTGACCTATGTCGAAAAAAAAATAGGTAGCAACTGTTCCTTCGCCAAGGGCTCGACACCTTGAAGTCCTCGAGGGTCCTTCTGATGAAACCTTAAAAACCGATGCCCCGTGTCACGTTAGGCGTTGGCACGATAAAGAACCCTCACTGCTCAATGGCCCTGGTCTAAATTTGAAGCTCTTCACCGGTATATGGTGACGTCTCTATATGAGTGAGAAATTCTCGAACGGGAAGTTAAACACATACAATCAATCAATCAATCCTACGTAATAACAAATAGAACTGAAGTAACTCTATGAACATTGGAAGGAAGTTAAGATTTCATTGTCTGTCTGTGTGATTAAATCATTGTTGGATAAAAAATTGCATGTGAGTAAGCACTTCACAATGTAGTGTACAATTCTTTATAAAATGAATTACACATATATGTATCTATATAGTAATCCGAAAACAAAAGAATTACTTTGCAGTTTCATATGGGAATTACAATGAAAGAAATAATATATTTTCCAATCATTAGGTAGAATAAGTGCAAGGATTCACTCTTTTTCAGTCACTTTGTTTTCAATGTTATTACAAGGAGAGAGTTGTCAGAAAACGTGCTCGTAACATCTGAATTGGACAATCCATTCTGTCAAGGTAAATCAAAAGGATTTAATTTTAACTTGATCTTTTATGAAGTTTCACATAACATAGGTTGTATATTATTTTTCTAATTGAAAACAGTTCACTGAAATACACATTTAGTGTGAGAGTGATTTTTGTATTTGGGGGGCTTTTTTTAATTTTTTTTTTTTTTTTTGATGGAGACAAATTCAAATTGAACATTGTGTTCAAACTGTGTTCTAATTGGTGTCATGTGCCTCGGTAGCGCAGTAGGTAGCGCGTCAGTCTCATAATCACATAAGGGCCATCTGAAGGTCGTGAGTTCGATCCTCACCCGGGGCAAGCATTTTTTTTTTTTACTTCTCTATTATTATTTTTTTTTGCTTGCTAAATAGCTAAATGTCAATTATGTTCTAATTCACCAGTTCAACCGAACATAAATTATTTATAATTTCAAAACTCCAACACATGTTAGGAACGGCATCGCCTGCGTCTGTGCAACAGACATTTATTACACATAAATGTTACAATATTTTAAATATTCTTCTTTGAAACAACATTCTACAAAATAAAAAACGAAAAATATTAAATCATATCAGATATATACATTAGAAAGTAGGGTGGGTGGGCGGGGACTTGTTGCACTAAGCGCAGCGAAACCTCGAATAACCTCTAATTCTTAATACCTGGACACAGGTAAACTACCTGTTCCGCACGATTTCATTTGAACTCATATCAATCGTTAAAACCCAATCAAATCTTAGATACTATAAATACTTCCTAAACACGTAAACAAACAACACCACGTGTTTCCGATGCCATTTATAAATATATTTATGTTCTAATTCACCAGTTCAACCGAACATAAATTATTTATAAATTCAAAACTCCAACACATGTTAGGAACGGCATCGCCTGCGTCTGTGCAACAGACCTCGACCAATAAAGACAGAAGCAAAAACCCACACTTTATATACCCAAATTTTTCGTAACTGACAGTTGCTGTCTAAGATTTTCTGACACATATCCGTCTTTAGCAGTATCAGATTTCCACCGGCCATGTTTTTTAAATAGTCTATCACAAACACCATGGTTGGCCGCTGCAGAAGCCCCGCCAGCGCGAAGACTATGCAGACCAAACTTAGTTCTATCTAAACCCAATGATGCGAGCGCGTCCAGAAGAATCTCTCTAGCCCTTGTATATGACAAGCACTTTTCTCCTCTTAATTTGTATGTGTTAGAACTTTTACAATAAGTGATAGATCTAAACAAATATTCATTAGATTGGTCGTTAATGTTTGCTAGACTGAGATATCTTCTGGTCATTCTCACAGGACATGTAATTTCATTCGTACATGATACAACTACATTGCTCCCCTCTTTATAACGATCTGTTTTGCTTTTCTGAATAATAAGAGTCATATAATTGTCATAAAAACATATATCTGATCTCTTCAAATGAACAAGTTCTGAAAATCTTAAAAAACCAGCATAACTTAATAAGCACATACAACATATTCTAATATCTAACAAAGAACACGATTCACCTCCGTAAAGAGCACACAATTGTTTCAGTATATTGGAGGTAATAGGTTCTTTTTTATTTATCAACTGTTTCCCGATAGTTCTATGGCATCCCTCTCTGGCTGAAATAGTAAGTTCGGATGAACAGGGATTAGGAAATCCCGCCAATTTATGCGCCCAGCTAATTGCATAAAAAGCCTCGTCAATTGTCCCTGCACTGCTACATGTATTACTGAGACTTGTTAAGTATAACGATACATGGAAATCCGTTGCAGGAAGATATGAAATATTATGTGTAAAACACCACTTACGAAATTTATTGAAAGCATATCCGTACGTTTTTCTTGTGTTTTCAGCCTTGGAATTCATGATTAAATCCGGAAGTTTCTTTGCCAGCGATTGTAAGGAGGGATGAGAGGTCCTCCATAACGAAATCCAATTTCCAGTTTTGAAAACATCTGCAAAACTAAAATAAAAGTCATATTACCGACCATGCTTGGAAACCCAAGCCTTGTCGCAGTAGACCTTGTCGATAAGCACGACCTTGTCTTTCCATTCCTGACCGTGCCCGCTTAAAAAGAAATGCATTCTAATTAAGGGCCATGTCAATCTAATAATAAAACTTGACCTTGCCATAAACTTGGCCTTGTCATAATAAACACAAAATAAATTCAAACATTAATATGTACACAGACCATGCCTTCTAAGGCCATGTCTATCAGACTCCACTGAGTCTTACAGCTAATACTCTGGAATTAAAGCTGTCAGAGCCAAACAGGCTGAAAATTTTTGCCATGCATAAAAATATTCTGATATGGAGAAAATTCCAAAACATCAACTACACACTGTTTATACTTCATATTTTCATCAAACAGTAACGTCCAAAATGCTGCAGACGGCCATTTTGGAACAATTAATGTACCCACACATTTACACGCTATTACATGTTTTATAGCTTTACTCACAAGACAAATAGGTGGTACTAACCAATTATTTTCAAAACACCAGTTTTGGGTAAAAGCATCAACTGCTTCAGTCTCCGGGTACCAAAAAAAGGGAGTTAAACCTCGTTAACTTTGTGTTATACACACTTGCAAATCTATCAATAGTATGAGGACCCCACATTTGGTCAACAAAACTAAAAAAACTCTTGAGTTGTTTACCAATCTTCATAATCGACTAAATTAGACAAATAATCTGCTTTTGTGTTTTTGTATCTAGGTATCCAACAAATTTTCAACGAAATAGAATTTTCAACACATTTAGAAAAAATGTCTAAAGCTAAATCTTGTAAATGTAATCTAGTGCTACCTCGTTGTACAATTTTAACACAATTTTGATTGTCAGTATGCCAAAGTAAACTCTTTCCAATAAATGAACTGGCAAATGACTCTAAAGCTAACTGTATAGCTTTAAGTTCTCTCCACGTGGAGCTCATAACAGATTCATTCAATGACCAAGTTTTATGAAAAACCTTTTCGTCAGCTTCTACAGTATATGCACCAGCTGCAACGTCACTGGCATCTGAAAACACAAGCGTTATTGGTAACGAGTCTTTAACTAACAGTTTCTGATTCAACTTATCAAGATTTTCTTTCCAGAACTGCAACTCTGATTTTACTGCTTCTGGAAATAAAAAACTGATTAAACAATCCCAATGACTTCTGCTCTCTATAGCTAAATAAATGTGTCTGGTCATCAAACTTGTTACATTACCAACAACTGGTGACATGGAAATAACTTTCCCAGCCGCTTTTGCGAGATCTCGAGCTGTAAAGTTGGGAAATCTACCAATAAGAAATTCTATCGAGTTCTGAGCATCAGAGAGTCGTCTTTCAGGTATACGTAGAGAAAATACACTGGATCCCATACCAACCCTAACCACTCCAAACACTGGACAGGCTGAAAAATAGATTTTTCAATATTAATTAGCAAACCTGCTTTTTCTAAAGTCTCTTGAACTAAATTTCATGCTTTAACACACGTTTGTAAATCTTTACCAAAACCAAGACCGTCGTCCAGATACAAAACAATGTCAATACCGCAGCTTCTCCAGTACTTCACGATGGGTCTTAGACACTTGGTAAAAATATAAGGCGCAGACGTTAGACCAAAAGGTAAAACATTGAAACAATAAAACTTATCTTTCCAACTGAATGAAAGGAAAGTAATCTGACTTTTACAAATATCTATGTGGTGATAGCCTGACTTTAGATCAAATTTAAACAGAAAACAATCTTTATTGAAAAAATTCAAAGCAATACGCCAGTCTTCAAACTTTACTTTTCTTTTGTCTACAAAATAATTCAATTGACTCAAATCCAGAATAAGTCTCTTTTTACCAGACCCTTTATTTTCTGCAACACTTAGTGGACTGACCACATGTGGCTGAAAGGGAACCTCTTGTACGCAGCCGCTCTCAAAAAGATCTGAAACAGACTGATCAACAAATTGTTGGTTTTTCATTGCAGATTTGTTATTATTCAGTCTCATGCGTGGTGGTACTGTAACAAAAGGAATAACATAACCATTTTTGATAGTATCTAATATGAACTCATTAGTGCTTATGGACTTCCAAAACTCAAAATGTTTGCGTAAACTGCCTTTCACCCCTTTACCAATATCAGGTAAATTTTCAAAATAATTTACTTGCTGTACAAATGATTCAAACTGATCAGTAAAAATAGATTCATCAACGAAATATACATACTGATTCTCATAATCACTGGGTTGACGAGCTTGTGCTTGGGTTGTTGGTTCTGGCTGGGGCAGTGCATGCGGATTTCCAATGGCCGAGCTTATGGCAGTTGTAGCACACGTCGTATGGAGAGGCCTCCTTACGCTTGTAGGGACGACAATTACGGCCAGAACCACCAGACCTACCATCAGGTAGCGAAGTTGTTGCAGAACCAGACTTGGAGTATGGCTGAAAACGGCGTTTGTCCTTGATAGCTCGTAATGCTCGGTTTTCAGCTTGACGTAGACGTTTTTCGTCCTCAGAGTCGGACGCCAAATCATCACTTTCATACTCACGGACTGTCGACCACCCGGCCGGAGATTTATCGGCAATCCTGATGAGCTTGTTACGCTTAGTAACCTTGGAAATGAGCTCTCTAACGATGCTCAAAGTGGAAGAATCTGAAATGCGCTTTTTAAGTTTATTCAAATCACCCAATATTTCAGTATTAAAGTTAAACTGAATTTTGTTCCCTTCACTCTTGAATTTTACAGAGACCTCTTTTTTAATGGTTTTTGTTAAATTTTCGATGTCGTTACCCGTAGAGAGTTCCTCCTTGAGAGTATCTAGTTTGTTGTCCAGGTATGACTTGAACAGGTTGAAGGTATCGGCCAAGTCCGCACTTACACGGGGGCTAGAGTGTCCAAAGGTCTCCGCAGAATTTGCCGTCTTGCGAGTGGTTTTCTGTTCACCAGCGGTTTCTTGTAGTAGAGTTTCGTCTAGAGACTCATCTTCCTCCCGGTATTGGGCCAAGAAATCTGTTTTTTGCCGAGACATCTATTCGACTTTTTACTTGTTGCACTAAGCGCAGCGAAACCTCGAATAACCTCTAATTCTTAATACCTGGACACAGGTAAACTACCTGTTCCGCACGATTTCATTTGCACTCATATCAATCGTTAAAACCCAATCAAATCTTAGATACTATAAATACTTCCTAAACAAACAACACCACGTGTTTCCGATACCATTTATAAATATATTTTATAAAATGAATTACACATACCAATCCGAAAACAAAAGAATTACTTTGCAGTTTCATATGGGAATTACAATGAAAGAAGTAATATATTTTCCAATCATTAGGTAGATTAAGTGCAAGCATTCACTCTTTTTCAGTCACTTTGTTTTCAATGTTATTACAAGGAGAGAGTTGTCAGAAAACGTGCTCGTAACATAATTGGACAATCCATTCTGTCAAGGTGAATCAAAAGGATTTAATTTTAACTTGATCTTTAATGAAGTTTCACATAACATAGGTTGTATATTATTTTTCTAATTGAAAAAAAGGTCACCGAAATACACATTTATATAGCGTCAAAAGTGTGAGAGTGATTTTTGTATTTTGAGGATTTTTTGAATGTTTTTTTTTTTCTGTTGGGACAGATTTAGATATAACATTGTGTTCAAACTGTGTTCTGTTTAATGGTGTCATATGCCTCGGTAGCGCAGTAGGTAGCGCGTCAGTCTCATAATCACATAAGGGCCATCTGAAGGTCGTGAGTTCGATCCTCACCCGGGGCAAGCATTTTTTTTACCTTCCTATTATTTTTTGTTTGTTTGCTAAATAACTAAATGTCAACAATCATTTGCATGTATTAACTACTTGTAATTGTGCGGGTGTTTGTTGGTAGTCTCTGGAATATCATTGGAGGTTAAAAAAATAAATGGCAAACCTCCGGCGGGACTCGAACCCGCAATCCCCGGCTTAGGAGGCCGGTGCCTTATCCATTGGGCCACGGAGGCATTAAATAATGATTATATAAAATGCAAAGAAATATCTGAACATAGTTCAATGTGAAAATACCTAAATATTTACATCCACTGAATATTTTCGCTTACGCGGTTTATGTATTTTTTCTGCAACAGCTGCGACATTAATTCCCGTACTAACAACCAAAGAAAGCATTATATTGTTTAATATGAAACTTCCATTAGGAATCTTAAAAGTACTGAGAAAGCGTCCTTTGTGGTTGACACTTATATTTAATAAACACTTTTAAACCGAACATGGATAAAAAAAAATCTCAAAATTTTGGCTTACGTACAGAGAGATGATGTACATTCAGGTTTGTGGGTATTATGAAAATAAATGAAAGGACTTGTATGTGCATGAGTTTTTGCATATTGAAAATAGTAGGACCATTAATCGGGTTCAAATGTCGGAGTCCCTAAGAGGGCTGGCTTTACACAATGCCAATATAAGTTCAAGGATTAGGAAAATAAAAATGATTGATGGAAGATAATTGGCTAAATTATAATTTTATTGAATCTTTTATTTCTATTGGTTGCTTTTTTTAATAGACAAACATTTTAAAAATTCAATTATATTGTTTGAAAATATTTAATGAATATGACAACTTTTTGAATTAAACGTTTTAAAGAACAATACCTTTAATTTTAAGGAATGGACTTTATTGAGTGATTCAAATCGATAAAATTACCATGTTGACATTTAATCCAATACATCAACTTCTGACTTCAATCAAATGTACATGTACTAGGCAAAAAAAATTGTTATGGTTTATAAGGGTAGAAGCCCGCGTAGCTCAGTCGGTAGAGCATCAGACTTTTAATCTGAGGGTCTTGGGTTCGAGTCCCAACGTGGGCGAAATTATTTTCTTTCATATAAATCCTTTTGCCCATTAATTAGGAAAATGGACAGGGCATTGAAAGCCCACTTTATTACATGCAATAAATTAACAAATACTACCGCCCTACGAGTAAGACAGGTATTTTATGTACTTTTCATTCAGTTAAGAAGTAGGTATAGATTGCGTGTGTTTTCGAGGTCATTTTAATAGAGAAAGATAATGAAAAGAAAATCTGGTGTCGATTTATTTCCCCGAGGAAGTAATGGTAGGAGAGTGGAGTTGGCGGGTGGGTACGGGAAGGTTTTGTGGTTGAACATTCTATCTTGTCACACTTAATTTTCACATTCTAAGGAAGACAGGTGTCACATTTTCGAAAAGGTTATTTTTTTCCTGGACAAAAAGTAGGCTGAACCCTGTCTGATAATTTATATCCCATTATTTTCTACTTTTGAATTCTTCAATCAGACTTCCTCTCATTTGAAATTGGTGACTTTCCATTAGAAGAGATTATTTATAATTTTTCCATGATAGTTTCAACTTTAAGATCAAAATGCACCACTAGACCTTTATATTGTACATTTGATTGGCTCATATTGTGTATGTATGGGGAATTAGCTCAAGTGGAAGAGCGCTCGCTTTGCATGTGAGAGGTACCGGGATCGATACCCGGATTCTCCATTTTCTTTATTTTGTTTTTCTTACTTAGTTATGGCTGTCATAGTAGCTCAGTAGGTAGAGCGCACGCTCCGTGATCGGTTAGTCGTGTGTTCGAATCACGGCCGCGACTGACCTATGTCGAAAAAAAATAGGTAGCAACTGTTCCTTCGCCAAGGGCTCGACACCTTGAAGTCCTCGAGGGTCCTTCTGATGAAACCTTAAAAACCGATGCCCCGTGTCACGTTAGGCGTTGGCACGATAAAGAACCCTCACTGCTCAATGGCCCTGGTCTAAATTTGAAGCCCTTCACCGGTATATGGTGACGTCTCTATATGAGTGAGAAATTCTCGAACGGGAAGTTAAACACATACAATCAATCAATCAATCCTACGTAATAACAAATAGAACTGAAGTAACTCTATGAACATTGGAAGGAAGTTAAGATTTCATTGTCTGTCTGTGTGATTAAAACATTGTTGGATAAAAAATTGCATGTGAGTAAACAATACTTTGGGACATTGGCACTTCACAATGTAGTGTACAATTCTTTATAAAATGAATTACACATAGTAATCCGAAAACAAAAGAATTACTTTGCAGTTTCATATGGGAATTACAATGAAAGAAATAATATATTTTCCAATCATTAGGAAGATTTAGTGCAAGCATTCACTCTGTTTCAGTCACTTTGTTTTCAATGTTATTACAAGGAGAGAGTTGTCAGAAAACGTGCTCGTAACATCTGAATTGGCCAATCCATTCTGTCAAGGTGAATCAAAAGGATTTAATTTTAACTTGATCTTTTATGAAGTTTCACATAACATAGGTTGTATATTATTTTTCTAATTGAAAACAGTTCACTGAAATACACATTTAGTGTGAGAGTGATTTTTGTATTTGGGGGGCTTTTTTAAGTTTTTTTTTTTTTTTTTTTGATGGAGACAAATTCAAATTGAACATTGTGTTCAAACTGTGTTCTATTTGGTGTCATGTGCCTCGGTAGCGCAGTAGGTAGCGCGTCAGTCTCATAATCACATAAGGGCCATCTGAAGGTCGTGAGTTCGATCCTCACCCGGGGCAAGTATTTTTTTTTACTTCTCAATTATTTTTTTTTTGCTTGCTAAATAGCTAAATGTCAATAATCATTTGCATGTATTAACTACCTGTAATTGTGCGGGTGTTTGTTGGTAGTCTCTGGAATATCGTTGGAGGTAAAAAAAAAAAAATGAAATGGCAGTCCTCCGATGGGACTCGAACCCGCAACACCCGGCTTAGGAGGCCGATGCCTTATCCATTGGACCACGAAATCCTGTTTTTGTTGTAACTTCGCGTCGAGAATTAGCTCAAGTGGTATAAAGCTCTCGCTTCACATGTGACAGGTACCGGATTAAACCCGGATTCTCTATCTTTTTAAATGGAGGTTGTGTTATATTGTTGTTACCTCTGTCCCACTTTTTTCTTCCTCGATCTCCTCAAACATTTTGAGCGGTGAACATATCATCTTTTGGAATATAATTGGGTTCATACTTCATGTAAGAAGTCACGAAAAACAAAAGAAATGGGTTGGTGTTTGGTCTTTGTCCAAGACAGAGCTTCTAGTAAAGTCAGCAGCATTGAGCGGCATTTGTCTAAGACAGAGCTTCTGGTAAAGTCAGCAGCATTGAGCAGCATTTGTCCAACACAGAGCTTCTGATGAAGTCAGCGGCATTGAGCGGCATTTGTCCAACACAGAGCTTCTGGTTAAGTCAGCGACATTGAGCGGCATTTGTCCAACACAGTGCCTCTGGTAAAGTCAGCGGCATTGAGCGGCATTTGTCCAAAACAGAGCTTCTGGTTAAGTCAGCGGCATTGAGCGGCATTTGTCCAAGAGAGAGCTTCTGGTAAAGTCAGCGGCATTGAGCGGCATTTGTCCAAGACAGAGCTTCTGGTAACTTCAGCGGCATTGAGCGGCATTTGTCCAACACAGAGTTTCTGGTGAAGTCAGCGGCATTGAGCGGCATTTGTCCAACACAGAGTTTCTGGTGTAGTCAGCGGCATTGAGCGGCATTTGTCCAAGACAGTGCCTCTGGTAAAGTCAGCGGCATTGAGAGGCATTTGTCCAAGACAGAGCTTCTGGTAACTTCAGCGGCATTGAGCGGCGTTTGTCCAACACAGATCTTCTGGTAACTTCAGCGGCATTAAGCGGCATTTGTCCAACACAGCGTCTAGTTAGTTGCAAAGTTTAAATAACTTATATGAAAAGTTGAACTTTTCTCAAAAAAATGCTTTTATTCACTTTTGTGCAATGAAAATTCTTTTGCCTTAAAAAGATTCACAGAAGGCCTGAAAAATTAATGTGTGCATAAACAATGTTTTGTTTAGACCAAGGATAAAAGAATCTGAAATACAATTAATTCTTTTTCTACTGATAGAATTACTTATAATTGACAGAAGGTTTACCATTCTATCTATGAAAGGTACTGTAAAGATATTTGTTTTTCTTTAATGGCAAGGATTTGATCATTAATTAGCATTTATGTTTTTCCCCTTTCTTTTAGTCATATTTTCATTAGTATATAGATAATACAATAATATTAGATTAAAATGACTTCACTAAATAGCATAATTCTGGCCGGTTATTAGTCAAGAAGCATGCTAATTAAGTATTACAGTAATGGCAGTCAGATACATACTTATCACCAATGT